TCTCTCTCTCTCTCTCTCTCTCTCTCTCTCTCTCTCTCTCTCTCTCTATCTATTTATCTATCGTCAACAATTAAAGTCCCAGTTTATCTATTTATATATTTTGTGCAAAATTGCTGTAGGATAGTTACGGCTGAGAGCTGGTAACTGACCCAAAACCCAACCGATCAGTTCTTTTGTGGCTGAGAGAAGACTTGAACCCGAGTCTCCTGTTAAAAAACAAACAAACCCCAAGATAAATAGGAAAGCTCACCTGTTTGAACATCAATGACCATTTGATGCCCTCCTCTCATTCCTGGCCTGCTGTCCTCACCATCACCTTGTTTGGATCGAAGGAAACAAAAACATCAGTTGACCATTAGTGAGTTTCCCTGTCCAACAAATTCAGCTGCATTCAAGAAACAAACTTCGGAATACAGGTTGTCCTCAGCCTACAACCGTTCGTTTAGTGACTGTTCCAAGTTAGAATTGCCCTGAAAAAAAGGTGTTATCAGGGCTCCAACAATTCCCCCCCCCCCCCGCCATTCGAATCATGCGCATCTCTCAGACTTTAAAAAAAATCATTTATTAGGAGTGATCATGTCCTCATTACCTGGGTGCAGCCGACGCTGAGACACATCATTCCTTTCCCCCTTGACCCTGGTCTTCCCCCCACGCCCTGGATGTATATTCTCCAATGGGACACATCCATAGCCAAGAGTTATCAATCATGCTCTCCAGTCATAATCTTGAGTGCCAGAAGCTTCGGCCGCCTAGAAATTATCTATGAAAGCATTTAAGGTATGCATTACTCCCCCTACTCCCTTTCTGCTGACAACGCTAAAAGACCAGACAAATATTTTTGAGTTGACAGGTGTCTTAAGTTATGACCATTTTTCACACTTATGACCGTTGCAGCCTCTCCATGGTCCCGTGATCAAAATTCACATGCTTGGCAACTGGCTCATATTTACGACAGTTGCAGTGTCCCAGGGGGGTTTCATGTGATCCCCTTGTGCGACCTTCTGATGAGCCAAATCAAGGGGGAAGCCAGATTCACTTAACAACCATGTGGCTAACTTTAATGGCCGCAGTGATTTGCTTAACAACAGTGGCCAGAAAGGTGATAAAATGGGGCAAAAACTCACTGAAGGACCGCCTCACTGAACGGAGGAAATTCGGGGGATCAATCGTAGTTGTTGCCAACCCCAAAGCTGACCTGAGCGAGGCCATTTTTTGAGCTTCGGTGTTGTCACAGTGGAGCTGAGGGGTTTGGGGGCGGGGGGAGGAATAGAGATAGATGGAGGTTTTGTAGCCAAAACAAAATACTTTCTCCTGGGAACCAAGGACATTCTCACAGGTGGTCAGAGAGAAGAGGAGCCAAGTTACTAGGCAACTGGGTGACATGATGATTGGACCATGTGACTGGGTGTCTGAAGAAGGGGGAAGAACGTTTAATCAGGTGAAAACTGCAGGAATATTCAGAGTCGGTTTTCATCGGCCTGTGCCAATATGATATATCCAACATATGTCAACTCATAAAATATTTCTATGGTCTTTTTAGAGTTGCCAAAAGAAAGAAGCGGGAAGCAGTGGGCAGCTTGCATTCTATAAATGTTTTCAAAGATAGTTTCTAGGTGACCGAAATTTCTGCCACGCAAAATTCTAACTGGAGAGAATGATTGATGACTCTGGGCTATGGATGTGTCCCATTGGAGGATATGAATTACGATACACCCAGGGGGTAGGGGGAAAACCAGGGTCAAGGGTGACAATGAAAGATGTGCCTCAGAGTCAGCTACACCCAGACAGTGCTGGCATGTTTACTCCAAATAAATCTTTAAGTTTTGGAAGTTTGGCTCGAGACTCATGATTTAAATGGGGGTAACTGCCAGAGCCCTGACAAACTAGTTCTTTGAAGAACCTACCCAGGCATGGTATTCTACAGGTTTGGCCTGGTTCGGCCGAACCGATAGCTCCAAGAATTATCTGTGAGAGAACCAGTTCGCTCTGACGATCAGCTGCTGGCCCTCCTGCCCGCTCCAGCTCTATACGGATTTTATTTCCTGGTTTTGAAGTTCAGCTGCTTTGCGCAGCACACCGAATTGCCGCGCGTCAGCTGTTGAACCCACAGGGAGAGTGCAGGATTGCAGGTCAGTAGGAAACCCTCTGCGCAGGCGCAAAGGGCAAGTTTGGCACGGGGGAATTGCATGGGCGTGCTCAAAGTGCCTCCACCAAGCCAGGCCAACAGAACCGGTGGTAAAAAAAAAAAACTGAATCCCACCGCTGAATCTACCTGCCTTGGAGTTCTGTTTATTAGGGGTGTATTACTTGGAAGTCGCGGACTGCCGGTAAATCATTCCTGGAAAAAGATACGATATTGATGGTCTTAAGAGAGAGAGAAAAATGCACAAGCCAAAGAGAACTGGGCATGGTTAGCTAAAGTAGAAAGGCCTCTGGGAACAGATCTCCAAAGAGCTGTTGCCTGTCAACTCTAACAAGGTTGAGCTAAAACAACCAATGATTCATTCGGTCAATTCCAATAACACAAAGAAGTTATCGAGGCCAGTGGTCGCCAACCATTGGGCTGGGGACCACTGGTGGTCCGCAGAGAAATGTCACCCCCAAAGCAATTAATCCAGACTGAGAAGGAACACATCGCCCGCGGGAACACAAGGCTTGCGTCGTTTGCATTGCAAACAGCATGAGACAGTGAGGGGGGGGGGGGGAAGGGCAGGGGAGGGGACTTGCCTCACTCATCATGCCTGGCCACCGGGCTGCTTCTTTCCACTTCTTTCTTCTTCTGCTTTTGGCTGCGAACAAGGAAAGCAGCAAAAGTCTCTTTTTCTCCCCCAAACTCCGCCAGAAATGAGTCTTTGGGACCCTGCGGGGCCTCCTGCTCCAAGAGGCTGCACTGGCGTGACAAGTCTCACAAAGACTCATTTCTGGCGTAGTTTGGGGAAGAGAAAGAAAGACTTCTGCTGCTTCTGCTACTTTCCTTGCATGAAGCCAAAAGTCTCTCTCTCTCTCCCTTCCCCTGAGAACGGAGATGGGGTCATGGGATGCCCCTTTTATGATCTTATAACAGATAATCAGAGTTGGAAGGGACCTTGTAGGTCATCTAGTCCAACCCCCTGCCCAAGCGGGAGACCCTATCTCATTTCTGACAAATGGCAGTCCGGTCTCTTCTTGAAAGTCTCAAGTGATGAAGCTCCCACAACTTCCGAAGGCAACTTCTGTTCCATTGGTTGATTCTTCTCACTTGTCAGAAAGTTTCTCCTTATTTCCAGGTTAAATCTCTCCTTGTCCAGTTTCCATCCATTGTTCCTTCTCTGGAGTGAAGATGACGAGGAAGCCAGATTCACTCTACAACTTTGTTAATGATGCCTGCAGCGATTCGCTTAACAACCCGGGCAAGAAAGGTGGCCAAATGGGGCAAAACTCACTTAACAACTGCCCTGCTTAGTCACGGAAATCTCAGGCCCGATGGTTGTTTTCAGTCGAGGACTACCTGTTAATATCCCTGGCAGCTGAATCTGGTAGTAGTATCTACTTTTTCCGTCAACCAGATCCTCGGAAAGAGCTCACAGCAAACCCAGTTTCCATACGGTACCTTTGGTGCTTTTGGGGATGATCTGGCCCCACCGCGGTTTGTATTCCTGCTGACTGATGTACTGGTTGAACAAACCATCTGTTTGGAAGGAAAAAGAAAATAAAAGAGTGAGCTGCCATCGTTCTTCCCATCGCAGCAGCCTTGCAAGATTGGTTTTTTTTAACCTTTTGCCAAACGGCAGTAGAAAACAAGCGGTTAACCAGCACGGTAATTTCTTACAAAATTAGACGGGAGAACCAGAGGAAAAAACGAGGGAGGGAGGCTGTTATAATTTTTTTTTTAAAAAAACGTGAATATAGTTGTGTCAACTTTTAAGTCGCGGAGCGCATGCGGTAAGTAGGGAAAAATCCTTGTCACCCTGCTATGTGGGGAAAAGATAAGGTGATTGAAGAAAGGGGTCACCAGGGATGACTCACATAAAGGCAGATGTCCTAGGAAGTAAGACTCCGATAGGAGATAATATTTCTAGCTCAGGGTCGAACAGTGGGGTCTTTGGTGTTCTCTGATCTTGGTGGTTTTCTTGCAGACGTTTCATGACCCAACTAGGCAACATCATCAGTGCTAGAAGGGAGTGGAGTTTATTGTGGGGGGGAGGGGGAGGAGGAGGAAGAGGAGGATAACGACTGTGGGGTCCTTGGTACCCCCATGGCAAACTTGTCTGCTAAGTTGCTATTTTTCCTTTTTCCGACCATCATCTGTTCT